GGCTTTGGTTGAGGGTGGCGGGGGGGGGGGGGTCAGTCCGGCGCTCCCCTGGGAGCCCTCACAGACATGCTAGCACGTAGGAGCTGGACGGTGAGCAGGCCCGGGGCACCCACTGTGTGGCCGGCCCGGGTGGACACTGCTGTCCGCAGGGGCAGGGGAGGTGCTGGCGGTGCAGAGGGCAGGTGGGGAGGGAGGTGGGCAGGCAGGGGGTGTGAAGAGCAGGATGTGGGGCCGGGCACTGGGAGACTAGAGGAAGGGCCTGTCCCAGGTGCTGGGACCTTCCCTCCCAGCTCTGCGAGGATGGCCTCAACTGGAAAAGGCCACCTTGCCACAGCCCTGCCCCTGGCGGGCAGTCAAAGGCCTGGCCCCTCATCACAGCCGGACATCTCTGAAGAGTTACCCCCTTCGCACTCACAGGAGTCAGCTGAGGACCCGCTGCCCCTCTGGAAGCCGACTACCCAGGCTGAGCCGGGGCAGGCTGGGCAGTGAAGGCGGAGCTAGGGGCCTGCGCTCTGCCCTGTGGGCAGTCCGGTCCGGACTGGGAGGGGGCCGCACCCACTGAGCGGGGTCTGGCAGCTGGAGCACAGGATGGTGATGGAGGGGCTGCTCTGAGAAAGGTTAATGGGTTGGGGGGCCGAGAGGGCCTGGTGATCAGAGCAGCCGGCTCCCAGGAGGGTGAGCCCTCAGCCCGCAGCTGCTGCATCCCAAGCAGGACGCTGGCTGCAGGGAATGGGCGTGCCACCCCGGACCTCAGGCCACACAACGGCCCACGCCCCCCTTGGAGACCTGCCCCCCTCCCTCCTGGATTAAGGGGGAACATGTCTGGAGGACCGGAGGGACTGTGCCCCAAAGGGGCCAGGCCCCAGCAGCATGCTGGGGCCCTAGTGGGAGCCAGTTGATAGCAGCGCCGTTGCTGAGGTCACAGTGCGGGGACCCGCTAGAAGCAGGGAGGCGGTGAAGATGGCAGCGTCGGGCAGCCGCGGTGGCCAGAGGACACACCACGAGGCCGAGCCCTCGGGACGGTGCTGGGAGAGGCACCAACGTCCCGGGGAAAGTCGGCGGCGGCCCCTGTGGGCCCTGCTGACTGGAACAGGCCATCGCAGAGCTGACAGAGGTGGGGCAGGCAGCGGCACCCGGCCGACAGGGGCCCGGTGGACGCAGCTCCGCAGAGCAGCAGGGCTCGAGCTGGGCCAAGGGCCGAGGGCCGGGCAGTGGTTGGCAGAATGCGGTGTTCCTGGCACTAGACAGGCACCAAGACGAGGTCGGGGTGTGTGACCAGGAGGCCCCAGCAAAAGGTTGCGAACCTGAAGCAGATTTCAGACCCAGGCCTACCGGCTCGGGGGCCGGGGCCTGGGCCTCCCCGCCAGGGAGTCTGCACCACGACCCCATAACACCTCGGGGAGGGGCGTGCAGGACACAGGGTAACCCAGCTGCCCAAAGGATCGCGTGGCTGTCCTGTCCAAGGGGGCTCCGTAGGGGGTCCTGGGAACAGCTGGGATTCCGGCAGCTCTGACCACTACTAAAGCCAGGGGTGACAGGGACGGCGGCAACAGCCACCGGGTAGCAGCTGGGCCTGGCGTCTGCTAGAGCAGGTTCCACGCTAGGCCTCAGGTGTGTGGGGCGGACACTGAGAGGGCCTGTCCTTTAGCCGCGTCAGGAAGGAGGAACAGGGACAGGGACAGGTGTCTGTCCAGCCCCCCGCCCCCAGGCTCCGGGAACTCCCGCCTGCAGCTCGCTGGTGCTGACGCGGAGGGCCGGGCCTTCCTGGGGGCTGGGGGTGTCGAGCAGCTCCCCTGGCCCTCCACCCGAGTTAGTAGCACACTCCCATCCAGTCACGACAGATGTCCCCAGACAGCGGCAAGTGTACCCCAAGCCACCTGTTGAGACCGGCAGGTCTGCAGAATGTTTGATCCTGTGACACATCATACCAAAGGCCCACTTTACAGCAAAGCCAGGGCAGGGCGGGGCAGTGGCCACAGGTGCAAACACGCATACTTCCAGAAGCTTCTGGCCTGATGGGCATGCAACAGCCTGCTGAAGGCCAGGTAGGAGGCCATACCTCGCTAGCTGGAAGCCATCCCAGGACCCGCCTGTGGTTCTGTGTCTCCGAAGGTCCATTCCTGGGTTCAGGACCGTGGGTAGGTGGGAGCTGCCTTGGGGGCCTGACCTGCAGGCCCTGCCGAGCTGGGGTCCTGGTCCCCCCCAGGGGATGCTGCGAGGAGCCCAGCAGGTGTGGGGTCCAGCAGGCTAGCAGAGGCTTCCTGGAGTGGGGTCCTAGACCACCACCCTGACTAGCAGGAGGGGTGGGCTGCAGACCCAGGGCACAGGGATATATCTGCACGGTGACCCGAGGGGATACTGCCGGCCAGGGTGTGGGGGTGGCCAGGTGGACGCTCTGCCTCACCACCCAGGCCCCTCCTGGGTGCATCCCGGGTGGGTGAGGGAGAAGGTCGGCCCCTGGCTGGAACTGGGTCCCCCACGGTCGTCAGGTTCATGGCCCCCGGGGGCTGCAGTGTGGCTGTGTCCCCACCCCGAGGCCTGTCCCTTCCACAGTGGTGATCCCGGGAGCAGGACACGCCTGTCGACACCAGGGCTGGGCCCTCTGCACCGGGAGTCAGCTGGTAGCCTCCCGGGACCCTGGCCAGGCTTGCGGTCCCACAGCGCCACCTGCTGGCTGCACCTGCTCCTCCAGCCCCGGCCCACCAGGCTGTGTGGCCCCACAGCCGCAGCCCATCACTGCCCACCTGGGGCTGAAGGGGAGGCCTCAGAGCCAGCAGGGGTCGCTCCCAGAGGGGACCCCGCATCGTCACCCTGCAGGGCTCCCAGAGGCACCATCATTCAAGCCCCAGGACCCACATCACTGCACCTCAGCACCTCACCGTGGTTCTGGGGGCTTTACCTGCACCCTTCACCCCTCCCGGCGGCACCCGGCCCGATCCACACCCCGGTCCAAGCCCCCTGCACCGGGGCCAAGTGGCAGGTGCAGTGGGCCCTCGCTCTGCTGGGAATGGCTTCCTGTGCACAGGCAGGAGAGTAGGCCAGGGCCTCAGCACCATGGAACCTAGAGCCCAGCCTGAGAGCGAGGAGCCCCTGGGGACCGGCGGTGGGTCACGGAGGGGTGCGGCTTGGGGAAGGGGCGTGGCAGTCCTCTGTGCCCTAGTGGAGGGAGCAGGAGGTCCAGACCCCCCACATCCAGAGGTGGGACTGCACATGTCACATTGATGTGCTCTGGTGGGGGTGGGGCAGTGGGGGGCCGGGTGCCCCGAGTTGGGGCCCCAGAGCAGTGGGGGCTCCACGGTGGCACCCTGGGCCTGTGGCCTCGGCGGCTATCAGTAGAGATGCCAGCCCTGGCCTGTTCCCAGGCCCAGGCCCATGGAGGTGGCCCAGGGTGGGCTGTGGGGCAGGAGGGCAGGGTGGGTGCCCGCAGAGGACTCCCGACCCTAGCATTGGGGACAAAGGGAGCTGGCTGCTGGGCTCAGGCCAGAGGTCCTGCTTCCTAGAGCCCAAAACTGTGGGCCTGCCCTCTCCCCACTGCCAGAGACGACCCAGCCCCTCAGGACACCTACGGGTGCCACTCCTGTGGGGGAGGCGGCGCCTGTACCCACAGAGCCCAGACAGGGGTGGATGGCTGCCCAGGGGACCCTGCCATGCTCAGGGGGACAACACCATCTGATGGCCGCGCTTCCAGCCCTGCGGCCCTCCGTGAGCACCTGACAACCCTGGGTTCCAGCTGGAAAGGGGGCCAGTTCTGTGCTCAGGCCTCAGGGTCCTGCCCGAGTGAGGGCGGGGGCCCCCGGGCACAAGCGCCAGGTGGGGGCCGGTCGGGGACCACCCGGACCTCCACTGCAGCCTGCCCCTTCCAGTTGTGCTGTGTCTGCTCGCACAGCGCGGCTCCTCGCCCCCCTCCCCGAGGGCCTTGGCCCGGGGCCCCCTTCTGGGCCTCACCCCTCATCTACCCACTGTGAGCTCCTGCACCAGCACCAAGCCCGTCACGCCCACCCGACCCGGTCCTGCCCGCCCCCAGCCCACGGGGGTTCCTGGGAGCCCCCTCCAGGCTCACGGGGGCCCAGTGCCCCGACCCCCACCTCCTCCCGCCACACCCTCAGCCATCACTCCCCCCATCGCTGCTGCCCCTCAGCCCGCACCATCGTGCCCCCTCTCCCAGGGGAGACCGTGTGTCAGCCCAATGACGGGGCTGTCCCCAGCGTGGACTTCTGCCAGGTTTGGATGGGCTAGGAGTGCCCCCCCCACCCCGTACTGTAAGTCTCGTCAAGCCAGCTCAACTCCACAGACCCCTAGGGGTACAGGGACACCTGGCCCGTGACCATGGGGGTGGACATAGCCAGGGGGGCAGCTGAAATGCACGGAGGTTACAAGGCACAGGCCGGACCGCCCCAGGGCACTGTGGCCGCCCCACCCAGCCAGGGCCCCCGGCAGAGGCCTGCTCCACCCCAAGGCCACGGAGAGGGGCCGTCTTGGCCCAGAGGGCAGTGGTGCAGCGTGAGGTGACACATACGTGCTGTGCTTGTGGGTGGCACTGCAGTGTGAGATGGACAGCTGCCCCCCAGGCTGACGTCACGTGGTTGGGAGCGGGGCTGGGGCAGCGTGAGGGCGAGCGCTGGGGGGCCTGGGCCTTCCCTTGGCGGGGGAGGACCCTGGGGGAGGGGTCTCCCCAGGAAGCCGCAGGCGCCTTTTCTCTAGCACTCGTCCCTGTGACTGTCTTCTGCAGCCCCGCCCCACGGGGCCCTTCCTTCGTGACGCCCTCCACCGCTCACGCTCGGGGCCCACAGGTGGGGCCTCGAACTACTTGCTCAAGGTTTCAATGGCCTTACAGGCCTGTGGCAGGCGCCCCAGGGAGGCGGGTGCAGGAGCCCCCGAGACAGCAGGGCTGCGCCTGCCCGAGTGTCCCCACCGAGCTCGTCCAGCCGCCTCCTCCCGCTGAACGAGTGCAGGCCACACGAAACAAACTTCGCTTCTTCAGTGAGGTAAATCCACACAGGTTCTAAGCCTGACGACCTTCGGTGGTTAATTTTATTATAAAGAATGGTATCAAAATATACAAATCTGTTTAAGAACCAAAAATGCAGCTTTTTAAAGGGTCGGATGAGCATCCACCGTTTTGAAGGCAACTTCCCCTCCGACCGTCCCTGGAGACTCAGGGGCGGCTCCCGGCCAGGTCTCTGGACGCCAGTGTGGACACCCGCCGGGCGGGCCTGGCTCCCGCCTCGGACACAGGCTACAGGTCTTCGTGGGACGGCAGCTGCGTCGGGCCCTCCTCTGTGACGTCTGTCAGAAGAGGATGGCTCAGTGAGACGGACGCGAGGCCGGGGGTGTGGCCACGAGCGTTTCCCTCAGACCTCGGTGCAGCCACCCTCCCTGCAGGCGCGGGGGCCCCGGTGCCCAGCGGGGGTGTCCAGGCCGGCCGCGTGCCGGACGGCCCTGCTGCGACGCCACGCTGTGCAGGGAGTGTGGCGGGCCGCCGAGCTGGGCGGTGCTTCCGCGACACGAGACCCCGAGTGGGGTGGGGCCGCCAGCAGTGCCGGGGACGGGGGTGAGGGGCGCGGACGGAGGCCCAGAGCAGCCAGGCCACGTGTGCTACGTGCCGTTGACTGTCGGGTCACACGGCTACCGCAACACGTGTGGCCGTGGACTTGCTTTTCTTTATATTGCTCAGGACTCAGCTTCTGGGCCCGAGTCGCGTCTCAGTCATTCTGGAAAACTCTTAGCCCTTGTTTTTTGACATTTTTGGTGCTTGACACCTCCTTCACACTTTCCATACCCTTCTAGAATGTCTGTGAGGCTGACATGGAAAGACCACCTCCCCCATAAAGATGTGGGGACATCCCACCCCAGAACCTGTGGCTGTGACCTCGCTGGAAATGGGTCTTCACAGGCGATCACCTCGACAGGAGGTCACAGGGCCGGCCCGAACCCAGTGACTGCTGTGCTTGTAAGGACAGGGGGTTTGGACGCAGACACGCAGGGAGAGGGACATGTGACAGACGACAGAGGCAGAGACTGGAAGGCCAAGATCCCCGGCCACCAGGAGCTGGAGGCAGGAGGGGTTCGGGGCCGGGGGGCCCTGCAGGCATGTGACCTCAGCCTTCGGCCTCCAGGACGGGACACGGCACACTGGTGCCGCTGAAGCCGCCCAGGGAGCCCGAGCAGGCGACATGCTGTCCTCCGCTCCTGCCACGTCAGCCCTTCTCTGGGGCATCAGGTGGCTCCCCGGCTGCCGGCCTGACTGGCTCCCCAGCTAGAAGGGTTCGGGGCCGGGGGGCCCTGCAGGCGCGTGACCTCAGCCTTCGGCCTCCAGGACGGGACACGGCACACTGGTGCCGCTGAAGCCGCCCAGGGAGCCCGAGCAGGCGACATGCTGTCCTCCGCTCCTGCCACGTCAGCCCTTCTCTGGGGCATCAGGTGGCTCCCCGGCTGCCGGCCTGACTGGCTCCCCAGCTCCCTGCCTCCTGTCTGTGCAGGGAGCTCTTCCAGGACTCTGTCCCCAGAGGCTGCTGTCGCCACTGCAGGGAAGCGTGCTGTATGTGCGTCAGCTTGGGCGCCCCGGATCTGTGGCCCCTCCTGGGGCGCGTGCAGCGAAGCCGCCGCACTCACCGTCCCCGGCTGGCTGCGTGCGCACGCACGCGCTCGCGGTGTCCTCGAAGCCCTCGGGGCACACGCACACGTAGCTCCCGGGGGTGTTGTAGCAGTTCTCGCTGGTCCTCGTGCACACTCTCTCTGCCAGGGAGCACTCGTCGACATCTGAAGCAGAAACACCCACCTCCGTGAGTCCCTCCACTTACGGACACACGCACACACCGCGAGCCTCGCTCACAAACATCGGGACGTCGCACTAGAGAAGGGAGCACGGGGACAGTTCACGAGCCTCAGGCATCGGGACTCGAGGTGGAGAAAAGCAGAGAGGGGACAGTGCAGGCCCAGCGCCAGCTCCCGCGGCGGGTGTCAGTGGGCTCCCCGCCTTTCTCTGGGGGGCTTCCAGACGCGGGAAACGCGGGAAGCTGAGGCTAGCAGGAGGGTGTGGGTGCTCACCGGGCGGTCGCCAGCACCACATGACGGGCCCTGGCTCCCCCACCCAGTGCTCTGCATCTCACGGGACCCCCGGCTGCTAGAGAAGCGGGCTGTGCGTGGAGCCTGAGCCGGTGTCCCGTCTCCGCCAGGTCCTCACGGGAAGGTCCCACCCACCAGCAGACACCGGCACTGACCTGCACACTGGCCGCTCTCCTTACTGTAGCCGGGGATGCACTCTGTACACTGTCCCGGGCCCTTCCCCGTGCAGCCCACGCAGGTGGAGTCACAATCTAGCAACGAGAGAGGAAGGACGATGACTGACAGCAGACCCGCCCGGTTCCTGCGAGCAAAACGGGACCCGAAACCACAGCACGGAGCCTCTGGGGGCCCGATGCCCGAGAAGCTCGCTGTCCCTTCACCTGTCACGCGGGAGCCAACACTGCGCTCTCACGCCCACCTCTGCCCCCCGTTCCCCGGCAAAGGACGGACTCGCCGGACTCTGTGCCACGGACATGCTCGGCGCTGCGCGGCAGCTCGGTGTGGAAGCCACCTTCCACCAGCCCTTGCGAGTGACGGCCGCTGTGGCGGCCTTTCTGAAACGACGTGGCACCGCTGGGCTCGCCCGCGAGGCGCTGAGGAATAACACTGAAGGAGCCCGCAGCGCTCCGCGGGGGCCGTCGCCCTGCCAGGGGTGTCGCTGTGCAGGCCAGCGCCGGGCACGGGCGCAGGCAATGGCGGTGTGCCCTGAGCGCCCGGTTGGGGGCTGCGGCCCTCCCCACGCTCCTGGGCCAGGCCGCCTGGCGCTCGCCCTGATGCGGGTGAGCAACGCGGCAGGCCCTACGGGGAGCAGAGCTGGCTCCACGTGCGCCCACGGGTGCTGCTGGACGGGACGACAGCGACGAGCTCCAGCGTCCACGCGGGGGAGACGGTCACAACGCTGCTGGACAGACACGGGTGCTGCTGCGCAGAGCGGCCGAGTGCCGAGCCGCAGGGGCGCCAGACGGGCCCAGTGCGGGCCGAGGGGCCGCCCGCCTCCTGCTTCTGGCTCCCTGGCTGCCTAGAGGGGCCTCTCACGTGGCCCGACCTTAAGCCCTGGAGCAGGGGGCACCGAGAGGCCTCGGCCGGGCACCTTCGCACTGGAAGGAGCCGCTGGTGTTCTCGCAGTACTGGTTGCTTTGGCACGGGGCCGGCTCCGCCACGCACTCGTCCACATCTGCAACACAAGGGCGCCAGCGGATGACCCAGCGGCTTCGCAGCCCGAGACAACCGCGCCACCGCTGGCCTGAGCGGGGAGTGACCGCAGCAGAGGACGTGTTTTGACGGTCACTCTTGGAGGCCTCTACATGAAGGGGTGGGGACGAGGGATGCTTCGTGTCACCCGGGAGGGGCCGCTGCGGGGGACCAGCAGCTGTGTGGGTGCCCCGTGCTCCCATGTGGCTCTGCCAAGCCCTGTGTCCCTCCCCACTCAGGCCGGGGCCTGAGACTATGGCCATGGGGGAAGAGGGCGGCCACCCACCAGCACCTGCGCCTGGGCAAACCCCTCGGCCAGCACTGGGGCCGCCCGGGCCCGTCGGCCCCCAGCTCCGTGATGCTGAGGGGCTGGGTCTGAGCCCGTGTGGGCAGACCGGTAGAAAGGACAGGAAGCCCAGGGCAGGACGTGGGCACCAGGTGGGGATGGACGGGTGGATGGACAAGAGACTGGGGGCCTGAGGCCTCGAGTCCGCACGGCACAGCGGAGCCCAGGGCGGGCGCCTGCTCTCTGCAGCCGAGTGGGTGGACCGGGCGGACGTCGGGGCCACCAGGCCGAGGGGAGGCTGTGCCCATCTCCCCGCCTGTGCTGCACACCAGCAGGACCTGCCTGCACCCGCCTGTGCCACTGCTCTGTGTCCCCTAGTCAGGGCCACCTGCTCCTCTGATCAGCTCCAGTCCAGCTGCCGGCACCTCATCTGCCTCTTATGAAACCAGGGTCTGAGCCACCAGGGCCACCTGGGCCACCCTTGGCAAGGACGGCTGGTGAGGGGGCCACCTTCCCAGCCCCGCGGGCTATCGGGGGCGTCACGGGCCGCGTGGGGCCCTTCCTGAAACGGAGGGCGAGGCCGCACGTGTGCGCATCTAGGCCTCTACGTGGGAGCCGTCAGACCTAAACTGAAGCAGTCACCTTCCCCACGGGCCCGGCGCGGGGCCCAGTGCAGGCGCGGGTGTTGGAGGGAGCCCGCCCGGGAGGGGCCGCACGAACCCCATGAGGACGGGGTGGGGGCAGAGGGTGCGGGAGCAGGGGCCTCACCCACGCAGGCGCCGTCCTCCAGCACCCAGCCCACTTCGCACTGGCCGCAGTCTCTGTTGGTCGGGCCCGTGCACGTCTCGCACGACTCGTCGCAGACTGGAAGGCAGAGGTAGGAAGTCTGTCACGTGTGAGCCGTTCTCAGTGATGGGCACGAGGCTAAGGTCATCTGAGAGGCTGCGGATGTGCACTCAGCAGGGTGAAAATAAAACCGGAAACAGAAAACCCCGGGAAAGCCAGAGTCATTTAACAACAGAAAAACGTATTCGTGCGACTCATGATATTCCCAGTTACTGAAAAAAGCAATCCACAGGGCTTTCAATGCCCGCTAGTGACAGAATTCTTAGCAAACGAGGACTGCGAGGGAACTTCTTACGACCTGGCAAAGGCAGACACCCTGCACTGCAGCCCGCACGCACCGACGCCCGGCCATGGACAGGGCCAGGGGCTCGGGAAGTGGCCAGGACCTCACCCCGTGGCGTGCCCCAGGAGCGGCAGGTGGCCTTCACTGTCACGGACGAGGGGAACTGACGAAGAAGCTGAGACAGGTGTGTCTGTGAGCCTGTCAGGTGCCGCCCTCGACACTCGCTCCGGCCCGAAGCAGCACCACGGTCAGTGTGGCCAACCACAGTTGTGGGGCTCCCTGTGCCACCCGACAGCTGTCCCAGAACTCACGCCGAGGGGAGCCCGGGGAGCCAGGGCACCTTTGAAGACCAGGCGGGACCCGCCTCACCAGACACCAGAGCACCCAGACGCGTGTCCTGTGTGTCCAGGAGGGCACATTGCGTGGCCTCCAGCTGCTCCAGATCCATCTGTGCCACCTCCCCGTCCCATCTGCTGGCAGTGACGTGGGCCTGGCCTCGGCACAGCCTCTGCTCACTCCCAGACACTAAGCCCAAGTGACAGCAGGCACATTTGGCCTCTGTACCCGTACCGCACCCAGGGACAGCCAGTAGGCCACTCAAGGTCTGGCCAGCCTGCTGGGATAGCCACTGGGGCAGAGCAAACCTGAGCCAGGCCACTGCAGGTGCCAGGCCACAGAGAACCAACACGGGGGTGGCCAGGAGGAAAGTGTCTTCCCCGGGGGTTGTTCAGGGACAGGAAGCGAGACCGTCTGTGGACCGTCGGTCGTGCCTACCCCTGTCACACTTTGAAGCCTCCCGAGGGCCTGGGGGAGAAGCCGACGAGCCCGTTTCCCCTCCACAGGCGGCAGCGCCCCTGCGGTACCTGTGCAGATGCTGTGCGTGTCGTTCCGCAGCGAGCTGAAGTAGCCATCTACGCAGTCGGTGCACAGAGTCCCCCGGTACCCGACGTGGCACTGGCAGGACCCGTCCCCCTCTCTGCTGCCGTCTCCGCTGCAGTGGCCGTTCCCGCTGCAGGGCCTCTCAGACCCGCCCTGGCACGCTGCGGGGACATGAGCCCGCTCAGAGCGCACGCGGCAGGCAGCCAGGGCGCAGCCCTCCCTCAGCGCTCACCATCAAACAGCTCTGTGGCTCTCACTAAAACGCGGCCCACTTCACGCTAAGTCGAGGACAGAGGCCTGCCAGCCTGGTGAGGGTGTCTGGGCAGCCTCAGTTGAAACACGGGGCCAGGGTGCTTACACACGGTACGTGGGACCGCACGGGACAGCGAGGACATCCCCCTGTGGCCACAGGCTGCTGGGACATCAGCAAAGGCAGGCAGGAGGCGGCTGTGGCCAGGGAGGGGTCTGAACCTGGAAACCTGCCACTCGTCCAGCTGAGCAGCACACATGGCCATGGCGCAACCCACAGCTCGCCACGGAAGAGCCCAGGTCACCTGTTAGGCGGAGGCGGCCCGCCCTGCCGCACAAACGGGCCTTTGCTGCTCCGAGCGGAGCGGCGCTGGGGGCCTCGGAAGGTACAGGTCCTGCGCTCAGGAGGCAGGGCCGGGGGTTGGGCTGGGAGGGACCCACAGGTGGGCAGTTGTGGGGCTCTGGGGCCCTGAACTGGAAGCACAGCTGGGACCAGCTACTCAGCTGCGGGGCCCAAAGGGAGTCCCTGTAGTGTGAAGGTGGTGGCACCGCCTCCACCCGGGGCCCAGAGCAGGCAGATGGCCCCGCGCTCCCGTCCGTGCTTCCGCCCACCCGCAGCCACGGTGGGACACCGAGGGCTCCCCGAGAACACGCACCGAGGCAGTGAGGCCCGTAAGTCCCTGGAGAGCAGCAGACCTTCAGGGTCTTCACACAGAACCACTCGAACAGGTCAGGGTTCTCCTTCTTCCTGAGGGTGTAGGAAGCGGTCGTCAGACCTCACGTGCCCGGTCTCTTCAAGATG